TTTTTTGTTCGACATGAAATAATACTTTCGAGCTACGAGACCTGATTATGAAGAAACCAAAGTTTTTATAGCAACCATGTATTTGAACAGAGATGTAAAACTTTGGTGGCCAACCCGTTAGGAGGAGATCCAACAAGGTCGGTGTCGAGTTGACACATGGGAGGACTTGAAGCGGGAGTTGAGAACTCAGTTCCTATCGGAGAACACAGAGTTCGTCGCAAAAAGGAAGTTGAGACAACTCCGCCAAAATACTTCCATTCGAGACTACGTGAAGTAATTTTCTGTGCTAATGCTGGACATACAAGACATGTCCGAGAAGGATAAGCTGTTCAACTTTCTCGATAGTTTGAAGCCATGGGCTCAACAAGAGCTACATCGAAGGAATGTCGTCGATGTGATCGGGGCAATTGCTATCGCAGAAAGGCTCACCGACTTTGTTTCCTTTGAAGACCCGGGAAAAAGGAAACAATCTTCAGGCAATCGCCCTCCAAAATATTCTCGAGGGAAGGAGCTCGGGGGCGAACAAAGGAAGAAGAGTTCCCACAAAGGGCCAAGCCTGAAAGGCAAAGCTCCGAAACCTGGTGAATGCTTCTTGTGCGGAGGGTCGTACATGGTGAGAGAGTGCCCACAAAAACAAGCACTCAATGCTTTAATAGCTTTCATCCATCCCCCCCGATCGGACAAGGACAAAACTGTCGCTCTTAGTTCGAGTAGTGCTGAATCTAGCAGCGACGGTGAGGAGTCGCAAGGACCCCAGATGGGAGCAATGCATTTGTTGAACGCCATGCGGGGTCAAGTGGGGGAGAACACGAAAACAAGGCTACAAAAACCAGGAAGTTGCGAGCTGATATACGTAGACATAAAGCTCAATGGCCAAACGACCCGTGCAATAGTGGACACGGGCGCTACCCACAACTTTATCGCTGATCGAGAAGCAAAGCGACTTGGGCTGATCTTGGAGAAGAGCCCAAGTCGAATGAAGGCGGTGAACTCGAAGGCCAAGCGAATCTCTGGGTTGGCAATGGTAGTTCCCATCAAGATCGGAACATGGAGTGGGAGCATAAACATGATAGCGGTGCCACTGGATGACTTCCAAGTGATTCTTGGAATGGAATTCATGCACGCGGTAAAGTTGGTGCCAATGTCGTTCCTAAACTCCCTATGTATAATGGGAGGGGACGACCCCTGTGTGGTTCTTGTCTCTCGGAAAGGAACCAGGGAACCTCAATATATATCGGCATTACAACTGAAGAAAAGGGTATGAAAAGGCGAACTAACATTCGTGGCTGCTATGAAGCTAGAGCCACTTGATGAGAAGGCCATTCATGAATGTACTGTGATGGCGAACATTCTGAAGGAGTTCACAGATGTTATGCCACTCGAGTTGCTGAAGACTCTACCGCCACGCAGAGGCGTGGATCACCACATCGAGCTGGAGCCAAGAGTGAAGCCTCCAGTGAGACCACCCTACCGCATGCCCCCTCCAGAGTTAGCAGAGCTCAGAAAGCAGTTAGGTGAACTGTTAAGCGATGGTCTCATCCACAGTTCTAAAGCACTATTTGGAGCTCCAATTCTTTTATAGAAGAAACAAGATAAGAGCCTCCGACTATGCGTCGATTACCGAGCCCCCAAAAAGTGACGGTGAAGAACAAGTATCCCATCCTGGTCATCGCGGACTTGTTCGACCAATTGGGCAAAGCCAAGTATTTCTTAAAACTCGACCTTCGGTTGGGGTATTAGTAGGTGCGCATTGCTGAAGGCGACAAAGCGAAGACTACCTATACCACCAGGTATGGAGCGTTTGAGTTCTTGGTGATGCCTTTCGGCTTAACCAACGCTCCGGCCACATTCTGCACTCTCATGAACCAGTTATTCAAAGAGTATTTGGATAAGTTTGTGGTCATCTACTTGGACGATATCGTCGTCTACAGTCAAACTCTCGAGGAGAATGCCAAGCATCTTCGGACAATTTTCAAAGTTCTTAGGAAGAAATGCTACTTTGCTCAAACGGAGATCTTATTCTTGGGGTATCGAATTGGTGATGGCTCCATTCGGATGGACAAATCGAAGGTGCAAGCGATTGCGGAATGGCGAATCCCAAAGAAGGTGCCAAAGTTGAGATTCTTCCTTGGTTTCGTCAACTACTATCGACGCTTCATAGCGGGGTATTCGAAGCGTGCAACTCCACTAACGGAGTTGCTGAAGGAGCAGCCTTGTAGGTGGTCTGATAAATGTGAAATTGCATTCCAAGATTTGAAGACTGCTGTGTTGGAAGAACCGATGCTCAAATTGCCGGACTATGGGGAGCCCTTCGAAGTCCATACAGATGCTTCCGACTTCGCTATTAGGGGAGTACTCATGCAGGAGGGCCATCCGGTGGCCTACGAGAGCCGCAAACTTAATGAGACCGAGCGGTGGTATCCGGTGCACGAGAAGGAGATGACAACGGTGATCCACTGTCTATGAGTTTGGCGACACTACCTTCTTGGATCACGATTTGTGCTAAGGACAGACAACATCGCTTTGAGCTATTTCCAAACTCAAAAGAAACTCTCCCCAAAGTAAGCACGATGGTAGGACTTCTTGGCTGAGTTTGATATGACAATGGAGGACAAGCCCGGAAAGGCAAATGTTGTGGCCGATGCATTGAGTCGGAAAGTGGAGCATGTGAATGCCGTACAATTAGAGGGCAGAGGCCAAGCAAGTCAGTTGCACTCCAACTTCCTTTCTAGGATCAGGGATGGTCTATACAGTGATCCCCAAGCAGTAACCCTGATGCAGCACATTAAAGAAGGCAAGACACGATGGTTTTGGGTCCAGGAGAGACTCGTTTACACTAAAGGGAATAGGATTTATGTTCCTCGAGTGGACAATCTAAGGTGTGAACTCTTAAGAGAGTGTCACGATTCCCTTTGGGTGAGACACCCAGGCATTCACAGAACCTTGGCTCTCGTGGAGAGGGCCTTCTACTGGCCAAAGATGGGGACTGATGTGGAGGAATATGTTCGAACGTGCCTCACTTGCCAACAAGACAAGGTGGAGCAGCGGAAGCCGATGGGACTTTTGGAGCCGTTGTCCGTACCAGAAAGGCCGTGTGGGAGAGTATTTCCTTATATTTCATATTAAGCTTGCCAGCAGTAGGGAGACTCAGATCGATACTCGTGGTGGTCGATCGATTTTCAAAGTATGCAACTTTCATTGTTGCTCCCTTACACTGTTCAACAGAGGAGGTAGCCAAGCTGATAATGAAGAATGTGGTGAAGTATTGGGGAGTCTCGCACAATATCATCAGTGATCGAGACGCTCGGTTCCTGGGACGATTCTGGACTGAGCTATTCAAATTGTTAGGGTCGAAATTATACTTCTCCACAAGCCTCCACCCCCAGACGGATGGCAAGACAGAAAGGATAAACTCGCTCCTAGAGCAATATCTTCGGCATTATGTGAGTGCCAACCAACGAGATTGGGTGAAGTTGTTGGACATTGCCCAATTCTCCTACAACTTGCAGCGGAGCTCTGCATCCAATAAGAGCTCATTCGAGATCATTACAGGGCAACAACCGTCAACTCCTCACACCATGGTAATCGGGTATACTGGGAGTAGTCCGTCAGCCTACCACTTTGCAAAGGAGTGGCACCAAAATGCAGATATTGCGCAGGCTTACTTGGAGAAGGCGGCAAAAAGAATGAAGAAGTGGGCAGACTTGGGAAGGCGACTGCAAGAGTTCAAGGTCGGCAATTTGGTGTTGGTCAAGCTCCAGCCAGCATCACTCCAATTCTTTAGGAACAAAGTACACAAAGGATTAGTGCGCAAGTATGAAGGACCCTTCCCAATTATCAGCAGGGTGGGCAACGTCTCCTACAAGTTGTAGCTGCCTGTGTGGTTCAAAATTCACAACGTTCTTCACGCCATCAACTTGAAAGCCTACTACTCGGATCCGCAAGATGCTTCCCGAAGTGTTCCAACTCGGCTACCCCCCACCAGAGCCTCCTACGAGAAGCGAGTTGAAACCATTTTAGCGGACCGCAAAATAAAGCTACCCACTGGAGCTGAACAGACCGAGTACTTGGTGAAGTGGCAAAAGCTTCCCCGAACTGAAGCCAGCTGGGAGCCCGAAGACGCCCTACGACATGAAGAAGCAATCATCAACTACCAACAAGCATCGACGAGGGCGTCGACAGTTTGAGTGGGGGAGAATGTCACGAACGATTGTCGCGCACCCACAACAACTCTGTTCAACGAACTGTTCATCGTTTGTGTTTACATGTACAGCTGCGTGGCAGCATGTTTTGGCTTGGTTTTATGTCATTTTGCTTGTAAAAATGTAAGTTCGAACAAGTTGCAGCACTACAGTGCGACCGCTCACCGAGTAAAACAGCCCAAAATAGCTCTGTTTTCTCATGCCACGGGCTGTTTTTTGCAGCCTGCTACTGCACGCGAAACGTTAGCCATCTCAGCACCCTGGAACCACCCGGGTGGCACCATGGGGGATGGGGCTTCGGTATAGTGTCGGGCGTTGAACAATCTTTCGTAAGTTCGCACGTTACCTTGACGGGAACTTATTGTCGCGCCCGGCACCCGGTGAGCAGCTGTTTGTGGACTTGCAACTGTTCATTCAACCTTCTAAATTTCTTGTTTTCCTCCTCTCCCTCTTTTCTCTTATGCACGCAAGGTGCTCGTTGAATTGCTTGTAAAGCTTCCCCTTACGCGAGACTTCAGGACTTGTCCGTCGCTCGTTCTTTGAACTAATCAACTTTCTCTTTTACAGGTCCTTCGGGACCCGAGTGAGGTTGCAACTTGGTTGACTCTTGCTAACGCATATCGCAAGGGCTCTTCGTGACTTAGACAATCCAAGCTAAGTTCGCGTCTTGGCCGCAAGGGTGCATCACAGCTTACGCAATTCTAGCTAAGCCCATGACAGAAGGGCGGCCGCACAAGTGGATGATAAGCCTTATTTCGGTACTCTTGTTTCGAAATTTGCCATGCTGTACTCTTGCATCGGTACTCTTGTTTCGAAATTTGCCATTGGTCTTGCAATTCTGCGCATTCTGATGTAAACCATTGTTTTCTTTGCCCAAACAAAAAAAAAAAGCACCATGTACCAAACGGTTGTAATGCATAGCTGAAGTTTGTCAACTTTCTTATAGATGGTGACTCAAATGAGGTAAATTGAGAATTGGTTTAAAATCCTTGTTCAATCAATGGTTTCTGTTCTGATTATTGTTCGTTGTTTATGGAGGATTTTGCAGATACAAATTTTACTTGTGACTTAGTTGTTCAACTGTAAAAAGGAATGTTCTCTTTGATGAAGATGTTTGGACTAACCAAGACCTAATTTTCCCCTAGGTTTTTGCTGAAGGGCCAGCTCGGCCAACTGGGGGTGATGCTGCTATTGCAATGTTGATTGGACCAAATTCTCCAATTTCTTTAGAGAGTCTATACGGGGGAACTCACATGGCTCATGTTTGTGACTTTTGCAAGCCAAACCTTGCAAGCGAATACCTGGTTTGCTTCCTTTCCTTCCTGATGCCATTTTGCACCTCGGTCCTGCTGACAGAAGTGAAATTTGAATGTTTCTGCTCTTCATTCTTCAAGATTTTGCTTTATTTTTGTTCAATCTTATGTTTTTTGTAGTGAATCATGTAATAATTTTCAGGCACAAATGTTCTTTTGTTCTTATTGAGGCGATTGTGGCTTCATCAAGAACAACTTTTCTGCCTGATCCCCAATCGGATGGCATTTTTTCTTTCTTTTTACTGTTGCATGTTCTCTTTCTATTTACTGCTGCATATATTGTTTCTATGGTTCTTCTCCGAGAGATGTTTGGCATCAGCAAGTGCCAGAAATTTTACTAGAGAAATTTCACTTTTATAATATTTCTTCTTTTGCTGATAATTTCAGGTATAAATTTTTCTTGTTGCATGGTGTCTCTCATCCTATTTTTCACCGAATAATTATGGATTGCTTAAGCTTGGTTTCTATTACCAAAACTGCTCATCCATTGCATAATCAATGTAAACATCATACAAACCAATTATAATCAATTGACTTCTTTATACAGATGTAGTGCAAGTTTACATAGCTTGAATTGTAGGACAATCTTTTAAAAGTACATCATAATAATTAATATACAATATTCAAAAGGACAAGAAGCTAACAGTGTTGCTTTGGTAGTAGTAACTGGGCCTTGTCTAGTTCTTTAATTCCTTGTATTTACAACCTTAACTGAGTGTATTTAAGTAGAAAAGGGTGAACACAGTTCACAAAGCTCCTACAAGACCTAGGAAGGTTCAACGCAATAATCCCTTTTAAATGGTTTTTTGTCCACTTCTATAATAAAACGAAGTACACCCTTTTGGATATTGATTTCTTGGGCATGCAATATATTTGTCTCGGAATAAATTATTTCCTTAATGTGTTGATCCGACAGGTTACTTTTGAGTTAAATCACCAGAGAACATGTTCACCATTAATCACACAAGTTTTTGAAACCTTTCTATGCAGAACACACTTTTAAGTCTCAATCGAATCCATATCTGCATTAGTTTTATAGGTCTAAAGATTTTATTTGTTGTAGCCTTAGTTTTAATGATGACATACAGTCATCTGGCTGTCTGATGGAGACCATGAACTTTGATGGTAGTGATCTAGCTGATTATTTACTTTGATGGTAGCTTTTGATTTAATTTTTGAGATGATTTTTGAAGCAAAAAAAAAAGCAAAATGATTTTCTTCAAAGAATAGTAAGTTTTCCCTTTTCAGAGTTCTTTTGAAGTATTCAAACTTTTCACAGTTGTAAAATTATTCATAGGATTAGGTTCTTTTTTAAGTGTATGTGTTTGACTAGCATTTGTTAATTCTGAGAAGTCTCAAGAACTATAGCTGACCATTGAGGCTAGTACTGGGTAGTGTGTTAAAAGAGTTTATATCGTACAAACTTATTAGGTATTTTTCTTGATGGTGGTGATGTATTTAATTTGAATGGAATAGTTCCTCAGTGACAAATTTCTAGAGCACATTTTGATCAAGTGCATGGGTTCTTTTTTTTGTTTTTTTGTTTTTACAGTGTGTAAATACTCCCAACAGTGGAATGATAAATTTACTTGATTGTTTCTCGAGTGTTATATCACTTCAGCTTGTTGATTTGCAGCTCTTTGTCGGTCACTCACTGTATTGCCTATGCAGGTGTTGTTGATGGGAAAGTATCACAAACATGCTATCTCATGGGACTTTTGATTTATGCTACAAACGTTGCTGCAGCAAATGAGTTCGAATATATTATATTGTCTATATTCGGAGGAGGGTCTTCTTTTAATCGGGAGCTTGAAAAGGCATGCATGTGTCCTTTTGCATTTCTTTTAGTCCTCGTGGCCATCGTCGTTATTTCCTCTCATGTATGCTCATTCTTACTCTCGTTAAACTGTTCGGGCTTCTCACCATCTTGGTATGATGCAAAAGTCCAACCATCATCTACTTCGTTAATATGTACACAGCTTGTCTTTATGCCACATTTGCGTCTGTGATTCATAACAAACATAGCACTCTGGGTGATTTTGCTGTTTCCTTTCCTTCACTCAAATGCGTTGTTATCAAAATATTGCTTTCACGTTTCTTTCGACTTAGGCTTTGGCTTTCACATGTGATATGATATATTTTGACGGCCTAGACACATCACCGTTGACACCGCACATTAAATCGAAGCCTTACGTCACCCGTCCCGTCCTGGGAGCTTGTACCAAGAAGATATGCCACACGTCTCGTCCCGGAAGCTCAGGGCGACGTCGTCTTAACCCGCTTTGCACGTCCCGGAATGACGGTTAATCAGAAGGGTCATCCCATCTCTCGGGGTCAGCAATAGCGACGCTGAATTGACGCACCATCAGCCCTCGTGTCACAATATAAAACCCCTAGTTGGCCTTCGGCCAAGGGGAAATAAGAAAAAAAGAAGGAAAAAAGCAATCCATCTCGTTACTAACTTGCTCGTCGGAGGGGCCACGGTCATGTACCACCCCGCGGAGGCCATTTTTGAAGAAGGGTGACCACTCATCGACGATGAGGGACTCGGCACGGAAGCACGATCCGCCCGGTACTAAGGAGTCGTCAATCAGCCCTGATCTTAACCAACGCCAACCAGCACTCCTTCCCAAGAGCTCGGGTACCTCATCATCCGAATCGCCCTACAGAAAGCTCCCGACATCGACCCGTGAACCTAGCCGTGCTGACTCACCAGCTACGATATATTTGTTGTCTAAGAGAGGCAAACGGGTTTTGACGTTCTCTTACGGTAGCGACCTAATTTCATGTTTATTTATTTATTTATAGAGATCCCTAATTGAATAAACAAAAATTATTTTACCCATATAACTTTAAAGAATATCCGTCACAGTTGTAATCCTAACCGTGCTTCCACCTGTACTTGTTGCTTGGCCCGTTCGCCCTCACACACTCATCGGGGGCCGTCGACAAGACCGGTGCGGGCGTGGAGGAGTAGGTGACCGAGAGAGGGAGGGCCATCGATGTTGCCTGTCAGCCGGTGCATGAAAGCGCATGCAACTAGGGGAGGGGAGGGGAGGGGGGCGGCAAAGGTGGGCGAAAAAGCATCCCTTTTGAAAAAAGGGGCGGGACAGGGGTGAGATATGGGGGGGCGGCCACACAAGCTGATGCGGCTGGCGACCTGCCACCCCAGGGCAGCGCCTCCCCTCCTGCAAGCGAGGGAATCTGAGAAATGGGGAAGGGGAAACGTAAAGGGAAGAATCCACGAAACAACGGCGAGGTCGATGGAGACGGAGGAGGAGGTCGGGGAAGAAAGGGTTTGGCTGCGCCCGTTGGTGAGGGTTGGACAAGGGGCGATCTCCGAACGCCGCCGCCGCTGCGTTGGCATTGTCGATTGGGGTGGTTCTGTTACGACGAACTGCCGACACATCAACGGGGAAAGGGCGAAGGAGCACCGATCGCGCACCGAAGCATGTTAGTAATAAATTGTGAGCGTTCCAACATCACTTGGCTTGGCTTAAAAATATGGGACATTTTTCTTGTTTTTGGCATATGGCATTCTCTATGATCTTCGTCAATTTCATTTTCTCGTAGCACCAACTTGATAGGTGAGCTTCTTGGTAGCCTTGATCTTTTAAAACTACTGAGAGATTACACCTTCAGTTTGAAGATTATTTGTAGGCAGATTATTTGAAGATTAACCTAATTGAAAGGAGCAACAGTAAGGGGAAAGAAGAGCTCAAATATGTAATGTGTGATTTGCCAAGAAACCTTGGTACAAATTATGGCGGAATGCCAGAGAGGAGCACCTTTCCTCGTTGTTGAATCCTCGAGATTGGACTAAGGTAAGTCTTTAAGTCGAGGGAAACGTCAACTCCACAAAAGGGGAGGGACTTGCTTATAATTTTTAGCCAATAAAGTGCAATAATTCTCATGAGAAGCAACCGTTACGAATTTTTTTCCTGTTTAATTTGCTATAATCTGTTCGTATGGATTTTACTGTTACAATATACACAGGAATGTTATCTCATAACTTTCAACTTAATCCATTCAAATATGACATATGAGCATATTCTTTGGATAAAGTTACACTTGTTTTAAGATACTTTTCTTCGTGACCAAAATATGTATTAAAGAAATTAGTTAGCTATCGTAAAACACTTAATTTCAAAATTTTCTATGCATGAAGGGTTGTTTCATACACTAATACTTAGTTTGGTATTAGACATAACTTTAGAAACAGATGATATTGACAGAAGCTCTTTTGGAGTATTCTATTAAATTTTATATATCTTAGATGCATCCTTGAGTCTTTTGGTTTTAGTTTTGTATTTTTGTTTATTATCCTTAGGGTGGTGATCTTTCTGTATCTCTTTGTGATTTTAAACTTGATGGTGAGCTTTTTTCGATCTTATTCCTTTCCTATCATTGGCTTTCTTTCGAAATCCACATTATCCTCGATATCATTTTAAATCGTCAATGTTGATTGGACCAAGATAAGTCTTAAATTGAGAAAAACCTTAACCCCCAGAAGTAGAGGGATTTGCTTATAATTTTTAGCCAACAAATCAACATTGACAAACTTGCGTATGTACAAATCCTTTTTACTAGGAAAGAATCTTGAGGTCCATTGATGTTCATCACACTTGTTTTTTTCCGACTATATACTTTGAAGTAAGATAAAAAAATATCAAGTCCGAAATCTCAGCATGCGTATGTACACCTCGTTTTGTATCAATATATATATATATATATATATATATATATATATATATATATATATATATATATATATATATATATATACGAAAAAACATGTTATAGCGGAATAATTTTTTTTCCTCTTTGTGTATCAAAATAAGTTCTTCGTCAAAATACTAACTTGATATCAAAAGCACATATTAACCAGAACAATATAAATAGCAGAACAATGAATCAATCACAAAGTGAGACTAAATTTTAACATGAAAAACCCAATGCAAAAAAAACTACAGGACCGTAGTCCACTTCCAACTTCCACTATCACTAATAATGATAATATGTTCACAATAAGTCTTTTCTAAAATAACAAGAAGATCATAATAATATCAAGACCACATATCTTGACTTAAGAATAGCATATCATAATCACATGAATGGATCTCACCGTTAGAATTGTAGAGCTTGTTGTAAGAATTCTTCATATATAATTTGGGTCAAAACTAATAACGTTTGGCCGCTGATCGTCAAGCAGAAAATCTTAAAATCCTAATTTTCTCTTTCTTCTTTCTCTATTTGTTTCATCGCACACCAAACAACCTTCGCTATCCTCAACCGAGTGTATCTTTTTTTTTTTAATTTTATTTTTAATTATTGATTTGGGCTCAAAGACCTAATTGTTCGGTCAAGCCCACATATGGGCTGGACCCAACAATTCTCCCCCTCCAACTCATATGGTGGGATGTACTAAGCCCACTCTTTGCCTACATAGTTTAAGCTTTTTCTTAGACAAAGATTTTATCAATATATCTGATTCATTCTTATTGGTATGTACCTTTTCCAACTGTAATTCTTTCATCTCAAGCATATCACGAATCTAGTGATATCTAACATCAATATGTTTGGATCTAGAATGGTATATTGAATTCTTGGAGAGATGAATGACACTTTAATTGTCACAGTAAATAGTATATCCTTCCTGTTTCAAGTCCAATTCTTGTAGAAACTTTTTCATCCACAAAGTTTCCTTGCAAGCTTCAGTAATTACTATATATTCTGCTTCTATGGTTGATAGAGTAATATAATTCTATAACTTAGACTGCCAAGAGATTGCTCTCCCTACAAATGTCATCAAGAATCCCGAAGTGGACTTATTGGAATCAGTATCACCTGCCATGTTTACATTTGTGTACCCTTCTAGCATAGGTTAATCACTGTCAAAACATAAACACAATATGAAAGTATCTCTTAGATATTTTAATATTCATTTCACTACTGTTCAATGTTCCTTACCAGGATTAGAGAGAAATCGATTAACAACTCCAACTGCATGAGCTATATTTGGTATAGTACAAATCGTAGCATACATCAAATTACTTACTGTAGATGAGTAAGATACTCTGGACATTTCTTCTTTTCTTTCTCATTTGTAGGATATTATTTCGAACTAAGCTTGAAATGACCTGCAAGTTGAGAACAAACTGCTTTGGCTTTACTTATGTTGAATCTTTCAAGAATATTTTCAATGTAAGTCTCCTCAGATAGCTAAATCTTTATTTTCTTCCTATCACGAAGAATCTTCATGCCAAATATTTATTTCACCGATTCCAAGTCTTTCATGACAAAATACTTACTTAGCTCATTTTTAAGTTTTTTTAATTTTACCAGCATTATGGCCAACAATCAGCAATGTCATCAACATATAGTAGGAGAATAATGAAATCATCATCTGAAAATTTCTTCATAAACACACAATGATCAGATGTGGTTCTATTGCATCCTTGGCTCATCACAAAGGAATCATACTTCTTATATCACTGTCTAGGTGCTTGTTTGAGTCCATATATGCTTTTCTTAAGCTTGCACACTAGATTTTCTTTTTCCTTGATTTTAAAACCTTCTAGTTGCTCCATGTAAATTTTTTCTTCTAAGTCGCCATGAAAAAAATATTATTTTCACATCAAGTTGTTCAACTTCTAAATTCAAGCGGGCAACCAAACCAAGAACAGCTCGGATAGAGGTCATTTTCACCATAGGAGAAAATATCTCTTCAAAGTCAAAACCTTTCTTCTGATTGAATCCTTTCACAACTAGTCGTGTATTGTATCTTTGTTGTGAGCTATTATTTTCAGTCTTGAATTTGTAAACCCATTTATTCTTGAGAGCTTTCTTCTCTTTAGGCAATTTTACCAAGTCATATATGTGGTTCTCAAGCAAGGATCGCATTTCTTATTGCATGGCTTTAACCCACTCATTCTTATTCTCATGTAGAATAGTTTCTTAGTAAGTTTCCAGCTCTCTCCCTATTAGTAAGCATAACATACTCATGTGGATGATATCTGGTAGATAGTTGTCTCAATAGAATCTCAATTGGTGGTG